TGCTCATCCAAGAGTGCAACACGTTCCGCAGCCAATTCCCCTCTTGCTTTTGCCACACGCTGTGTGTTGACCCACGTTCCAAGGCTGTAGCCATCTGCAGTTTTGTATTTGCGAGACACCAGCACGTTCCCATGTTCTTCCTTGTACTGCCGCAATCTGTCATACCAGCTTTCCCAGGTTGTCTGAAACAGTTTCAAGACAGATGGTAGGACCCGAAGGTCCAGCAGTTCCGCAGCTTGTTCAAGCACATCTTCCACAGTGACCCCGGGAAGCCCACCAGCTTTGATGGCCAAGGGCAAGGTTTGCCCCAGCTTCTTTTCTCCCAAAGACCTCCGAAACACGGGATCAACACTTGCTAGATCCTGAAGTAATCGTCTCAACTCTCGATCTTCAGTCAAGTTGCCACTTGCTGGATTGGCCACAATGGGTGGTGCAATGACAAGAGCATCAAGCTTTCCTGTTTCCCTCCGAAGCACTCGCCCAACGCATTGTCTGAACCTGATGCCACGCCTTGGGGCCACAAATAGACAAGTGTCAGCCCATGGCAAATCAACACCCTCACTGAGAACATCCACGGTAACAAGGACACGAATACCTCCACCAGCTTCATTCAACGCAAAGCTACTCAAAATCTGTTGCCTGCGTGACTGTTTGGTATCTGCATTGTAGTGCCCTGCTGGGATACCAGCATCAATGAGTAGTTTGGTAAACCGCTTCGCTTCACAGACTGTGTTGCAAAAAGCCAGGATCTTCCGTGACAACGGAAGGTTCTGAATAATCTCCACCAGGCTGGGACGTGGATCCCCTTCAGAGACTACGGGCACCAGAATGGAATAATCCTGGATGACGCCTGCTTCTATGGCCGGCCTGAGACTGAAGTCAAAGTCTGGCGAGTTCCGGACAAGGGTAGCCGAGAAGAAAACGCGTTTGTCGGCCTTCAGAGAGAAGACCTGTCTCAAGTAAGGTCCGCTATGGTTGGTGCAGTCAGAGTGCAAACTTGGTTCGTAGTGATGAGCCTCATCAAGCAATAGGAGATCAAAGGAGACGTTCTCAAGTTGCCACGCTGAGTTGCGCACACAAACAAACACATCGGCCGTCAAGTTGGCCCTCCATCCCGTACCAACCCGAGAAATGAACACGGATGGCAGAGCATTTTCCAGGAGCTTTGCCATCTGTTCCATCAAATCCAACTTGGGGACAATCACGCAAGCCTTACCTGAAGGACTCAAGTCAGCCAAAAGATCGGCCATGACCAGGCTCTTTCCTGTGCCAGTGGCCATCTGCACAAAGAAATCCTTCTTTGCATTCGCCGTGCGGTTCGCAATAAATGCTCGGCATTGCTCCAAGCAGTCTTTCTGATGTGGCCAGCGCTGTAATCTTCTTGACACCTGTGTGACTGGATACTAGATGTGCACCACCCAACCCCAAGTTGGAAAAAACACACGATATGTTATCAGGTTTTCAAACTATGTATCAATTACTACTTAAAACATACTGACTATGTTTAATTTGGACAGTCTACTTATTATACGGTATACCAAGTCTTTCCCAAACCTGTGCATCTCTCTCCTTTTCAAGAGCCATACATCAAAACCCATCAAATCCATTCAAGTCTCATGATTCCACCAACAGTTTGACAGTTTGTCAATGTTTGTCCCATTTCTCCCCCTTCAATCCCTTCTTCCCCAACTTCCTACCTGACTTCCAGCTCTCCGATGCTTCCGCTTCTGCTCGCCCATCCAGCGCGCCGCCGCTTTAGCCGCACCGCGCCGCCAGGCGTTGATCTCCTCCGCGGTGTAGCGCCGCTGCCGGGCGCCGGTGAAGCGCAACCAGTCCTCGGGGAGGACGGTGCTGTGGTTGGTGGCCACGATCAGCTGCTGCACATAGGGCTTCAGCGGAGAGAAGTGGGCCTGAGGAGGAAATTGGGAGTTGAAGAACTATTTCATGCTGATGGACTCACCACTCAGGAGTTGGAATCTGTGAAAAGAAGATGATTGAAACAAGAACAGCGACTTATTCTGAACAACGGCTTTCTGGATCTTTTTAGAGTCTAGTTTGTGTCTAAGATTTTGATCGAGGGTGAGAGTTGACACCAATCCCCGCCTTCTTCCATGGTTTTGACTAATTAGACACGTTCAACACATTTTGCTACCCTGCTCCTTGGCCAGCGTGTAGAACGTGCCCAAACGATTCCACGGCACCGTCCCAGCATAATCCTTCGCTTGAACCGCCACGGAGAGGTTCAAGGCTAAGGAGTCGATGCCTTTGTCTCGAAAGGGCAACCGTAACTGCTGCTTGAGCTTCACCTCGGCCGAGCTGAAGTCAGTCCTAGAGGTTTTCAACTGACTGTCCATCCCCTTTGGCCCATCCTTGTTGGTTGCAGGTAATTAGATTCTATATAGCAAGTCGAATCTGAAAGCCTGGCTTGTCGCGATTCCCAAGGTGGAAACTGAATCCGTGGCTATGGCTGAGTACACAAAACCATTCTGAAAGGTTTATGTATTGATAATCACTTCAATCTGACTGAGCATTTCCATTGGTCCTGCTTTTTATGTGTTAATTGATAATCACTTCAATCTGACTGAGCATTTCCATTGGTCCTGCTTTTTATGTGTCCTTCCTTATGTATGTGTTCCTTTCAAACCGCCCAAAGCGCCACACAAACCAGGTCACTGGCACTTGGTTCCACGTGATCGTTTGCAAATCCAAGGCAGAGATCAACTCCAGCTCGATGCCAGGTGCCAAGTCTCCCAAATGGATCGCCTCCAACGTTAAAAAAAACGTTTGTGGGATTTTGTGGGATGATGTTGTCGGAGTCGGAGCCCCAAACACATCCAAACAGGATCATATTTGGCTATGGGTCATGGCACGGGCCCTGGCTTTCCCCACTCAAAATGAACAGAATTGACTACTTTAAGGAGGTCAACCTACCAAGGTGAAACGGACTCCGCGTGGCATGACCCACTCTGACTCACCAGGAGATTTCTGGAACAGGTGAACCGAACTTGCCGCCGGTTCTTCCTTTAAAGAAGGGGTGCCCCCTAGGCCCCAAGAAGTGGACCTGCAGGTGATCCACAAGCATCCACATACTTCCTGAGTAGGGACTCATAGAACCTACAATTAGAGGGATTGGTCTGTGATCCATACCTGTCCACGGCACTTTGCCCGGCCTCGCCTCCAGTGCCTTTGCACGAAAGGCCTTCCAAATCCGCTCCACCTCTTCCTCACCCAGCCAGGCCGCCACCGCCGACGCCCCGTCGCACGCGCCGGACTCGCGGTCCACCAGTGGCTCCGACGCTTCGAAGAGAGGAGGCTGGGCTGACAAGGTGGATCCTGGAAGCCGGGGTGAGCTCTGCAAGCTCTGCAAGCTACGAGAGCCTGGCCTGCCACCTGGCGCAGGGTGAGTAGGGTGAGTGATCAAGCCGCAACAAGATGGGCTGCTGCAGAACGGTTGAGTGCGATGTGGGTGTCCAGGAAGGTGGAGACGAAAGAAGGCGACCCAAGCGACCCAAAGCCAACACAAGAAGCATTGAGACCTCCACGCACGTCGTCGTCCTCCCATGGTCAGCCAGTCAGCCCATTCGTCAGCTAGGCTCACAAACCATCAATTTGAGCAACAATTCCTTCAGCCGGCGCAGTGTTGTGCAATCCATGGTGCTAAACAACGCCAGAACTGCTTTTACAGGTGTCCATACATTGTCACCCTGTACCTAAGGTGAATATAGGTTGTGATTGGACACTCGGATGAGCCCTGATGGGCCATGATGGGCCTTTTCACTCTAACATGGCTTTGCCGAAGAATCCCTCCAAGTCACTCGAGTCAACAAAACCTCATAGTAGATCAAGATGAGATAGTCTCTGCCTTGCAGCAGCTGATCCTCTTCAATCCGTTCCCATTTCTCTCTCCCCTGTTTCCACCACGCTCTCCGGCTCGCTCCACAAGGCTCCGCCCTCGCACCGGTCGGTCGAACGGGTCGAACGGCGAGGCACAGAGCTCCACCATGGAGCTGGAGACGACGCTCCGCTCGTCCGCCTCGGCGACGTCCTGCCGGCGGGCGGCGGGCGGGGTGGGAGGGAGATGAGGTCGGTGAGACCAGAGCCATGGCATGTGCAGGAAGTTGCAAAAAAAGTATGGGAATGAGAATTGGAAATCGACATTCCCCCAGAACAGAAGAGGATTCATGATTCATCGATGTAGAGGGAAAAATCGCCTCAATGCCAATAACCGCCAAAAGGTGTCGACGACCAGCTTCTTCGGCGGAACGGCGGCGGAACCGACGGCGGAACGGCGAGGTCTTTGCGAGCTGGGAAGGAGATGATGCATCGCCGCAAAGGGTCGAAGGAACAATGCCCTATGCCTTGGGTATATATATCCCATTACCAGTAACAGTGGATAATGATGGTTAGCAAAGGCCTTTCTCACAAATATAGTGATAGTCTTTTACCGACTGTTACTGGTAATGGGCTACACCCTACCTATGCCATTTTGTGGGTGTGTAGCTCAAATAGGGAGACCTCTCAGGCCACCTGGAAGGTTCGGAAAAATGGACCTAGTCAACATTAGTCTACCCAGCCTACCGGGCCAGGTCGTCTTCCGGAATGAACATAGCCTCGCCCGTTTCATCATGAAAAGATTTCGGCTGACCTGGTCTTGAGTTGTCTAAAAAACCCTTTAGTACAACAGCTCGGGTGTTCATGAAACACCATTAAATCAATGGACCAGGAAGCCTAATTATAGGGAATACAGGTTTCAAGCCGGCACACGGATAAGTGCAACCCCTGAACAGGAATAAATCAAATTGTAGAATTTGGTAGTAGGGTGAATTCTATAGACTTGAACAAACCTCTCGCAACCAACCATGTGTTTTTTACACATCCTGACACCTCATGGTCATCGAGGTTGTTCACTGGTCCATGTCACGTGTTCTGGACCAGGACACCGGTACCGCTGGGAGTCCATGGAACCGCAGGTCCCACGGACACAAGGACAGTTCATTGGAAGTGGATGTGAAGATCCTCTCCAAACGCTCACATGTATAGGACATTGACATAAATATACCTACATTCCCTGAAATCACCCCAACTAAATGAGACAGTTTTCTGGAGTCTTTGGGATTCAATGTACGTTTTGTGTATCAGCTGATCCACTTCTATAAGTCATGATAAACCAACACCTGTGGATTGCACAAAGCAACGCTGAGACTCTCCCTTCAGATCTTAGATGTTAATATAAGTTACACCAATACTCTTCTTCAAGTTGCCCTTGGGTTCCTTGCATCACCGGCCCACATCACTGGCGAAGACCGCTACTCACTGACCGAGCGGTTCAAAAATCACCCCCAAAAAAATGAAGACACGGATACCTACGACCTACGGAGATCGACTGACCAAGACCTATCGGAGAACTCACATCTCCTCGGTGGCCAAGGCATAAAGAACGATGTTGCTGATGGGAATCAACGCCTCGGGCCGACGCGTCCAAAGAGCCTCCTTCGGCGTCGCGGCCCACGCCGTTTCGGACGATCCTTGCCGGACCACGGATGTTCCCGTTTCTGAAGACGAGCGGGGTTGACTTCGCAGAGGGTTTTTCTGGTGGTTTGACATGAACAAAAGGTTCAAACATGAGTCTCAACTCTTGGAAGGGTTCATGTATTCTGTATTCATGTGTGAGGGGTTGTACTTGGACGGATTTCACACAGCGTCCACCGTCGAGCAGTTTAGACACCACACCACCACACTCGAAGGCTTTGCTGACATCGTCAGAGCACAAGGGAGAATGGCATGGACCACGCTGACATCTGGTTTGTCATCTGGCAGCAGTTGAGAGCGTTCGCTATAGAGCGGTGCGCATGCACGAAGGTCCTTTGACATGTGGATCCAGCTCTGGATCCGAGTGTGCTCTTGGGAACAATGATTTGGTGGACAGGGCGGCAGTAGAGGCCAATCAGAGTCGGCCTAGCTCTTTCACTGCGGTGTGGGCCAGATTTGTGAAGTGGAGAGATGACCACTTGATTGTACCTTTCTGCACTTCGCTTGGCTGGTTGCTGAACGTGACATTTCTCGGAAAGGGTATCGATTCTGGGGATGACGAGTTCACTTTGCGGCTTGAGTTGGGAGAAAACTCGTTTGATGAGCCGACACCTTTTCTGAGTGATGCAATCGGTAGAATGCCGGCAAATGGGTTGGCGGAGTTTGCAGTTGCATAGCGAATGTGGTTTCCCCGCTGTTCAGTTCTTTCAAAGGTGAACACTGGACACTGTTTCTATAGCGGTGCCTATTTTTGCACATATGTCATATGTCTCACATTTTTTCGGTGTACGTTAGAACTCTTTAAGGGCACCTTTTCGAGCATTTGCGGAGCGCAGGCAGGCAATCCCTCTCTTCCTCAGACAATGGCTTCGGAATCTATGCCTTTTGAGATCTCTCTTTAAGGCTTGGAGTGAGCGATTGGGATTGCATGTCGACAACAATGCTTTCAGCGGGCAATACTCAGTGAAGGAGGCCTGTCAACATACGTGTGGATCGAGAAAGCAACTTGTGTCCTGTCAATATAAATACCACTTGACCCAATGATCCTGCTCCATGTAGGCTTGGCTCTTGAGTTCTCGAGCGCACACAGACAAGAGCTTGCCGTGCTGCCACTCCGAGACCTGAACATCAACCGCGAGTGTCCTGCGGGTATGATGTAAATGCTCTCGAGGTTCCAAGGCGAGACAAGCTCCTTGGTAACAAGGGAGATACCCGTCGCGAAGGAACTTTGTGAATGTCATTCACCAAGTTGCCAAAGGGTCTGAGATGTGGCTGACGAGCTCAAATGCATATAACATGCCTTCTACACAGTGCAACTAACTTTGAAATATTTGGAAATACCGTCTTTCTTCCCCGGAGAAGTCAACAACACGAACATATTGTTCGCATGGCAATAGACCAATACAAAGATTGATCCTCCTTTCTTTGGCTGTGCTTAAAAATTGAGCCTGCTGGACCCTCGAAAGGGCAAAGGTCATGCAACCTGTCTCGGCAGTAATCTCCATTGTCACTACGGCGGGTTCGCCTTCAATGACTTCGAGCACCATCTGACGCCGCAACACAAGTGACCAGGCGGCCTTAACGTGTTGATAGCATGCTTCAGATTCCATGGATCGCATGGATATGCGAGCCCACGCAAAAGTCTGGTGGAGGATTTCCGGAAGCACGATCTAAATTAGCATCTCGGCACCCTTTTCTTGCCCCTTGCCCAGGCAACCGACATCTCAGATGGCAATGAGTAGGGAGGGAAATAAAAAACAAAACATTGCCATGATCTACTTCAGGATGCATATTCTTTAGGTGAGTACAATGTCATGTTCCGTGCAAATTCAGTTGAAGGACATGTCCCAATACCGTCTCAAGCAAATCCAATTTAAGGCAGGAAGAAAAAGAGTGATAAACCGAGGGACTGTGATGTTGGGTAGGCCCTTGGAAAAGACTTAATTGACTTAAGTAATCATTGCCTTCAAGATGCGCTACTGTATTGAAGAAAACCGGTGGTTTGTAATAATGGCATATCCATGCAAACACCTCATCCGAGCAGCTGTGAGGACGTCAACCACAATCATCACTTTCGAACTGTCCACAACACAGCCTCAGAGTCATTGGCTGCGTGGAGGTTGGCATTGACTGAGAACCCCTCAAACAACAGGTTCTAAAGTTTGGTCAATGTCCTGTTCCCAGGAGGGTCTTCAACATCTATAGAAATTAAATCTATAGCACACATCCAAATCTGTTAACCCAAATAAGTGTTGAGCAATGGTCCTCAACAAACAATTACATCAAATATGGTTTCGTCCAAACAGGCGGCCACCTATGAGTAGCGACAGAACAAATCTGATGATGAACTGCATGAACAAAAAAAACCAATACGAATCCTCCGAGCTCGAAGATGTGATTTGGACCACAGGTACGAACGAAATCTGAAAGTCCGACGAACCAAGCACCCATCCACTGAGTGTATGTGTATGTATGATGTATGTTGTAGCCTTAGCGACGTTCTTCGGGTTGACAAAGTGTATTTGGACAGCATGCCTGCCTAGTTAAACTTCAACAAAAACAACAGAGAATGCTTATACCAGCTAAACCCCACCACCTATTATATTGTATTTAAGTGGGGCTATACGGCTATACGGTTGTGTGTATATTGTAATTCGAGCTATCCCCACCACCTGGCTCAAATGCGCACACGTGGGACCACTGGGTACTGGCGGGGTTTTCTGCACAACTGCAGGGGGGTTGAGGGACGAAGCGCACCAAGTGGCAACGCACCAGCCGCAACGTTTTTTTCTTTGGTGCCCCAGGCATAATTTTCAGTTTTCAAAGCATGTCTGCCTTTCAACATGTTCAGTTTGATCATTTGATCGTGTGTTTTAAAAAATGCTGCATTTTGCATTTTCGACATCATTCTGATTCAGTTCTGCCATTAATCGATGCCATTGGATCGCCGCCTCTGGCGAACTGAAACGGGTCTCATCCACCTTTTTTCCCCCTCAAAACGCGCGTGTGGGACCCCAGCGTCGCATAAAAAGG